CTTTCACATATTTTAATATTAAATTTAAAATTTCTCTTAATATACTAAATACAATAAAGAAGAGAAAATTAAAAACATAAATTAAATAATTAAATAACTCATATAAAGTAATTGGCTAGAAGTGTGATAATTTTAAATATTTATTTAAGAATTTTATTTAATTTAACAACTTATACAAAGAGAAAAAAAGATCATATTTATTTAGCTAACTTTTTGATTTTATTTATTGTACTTAGACTCAAGTTAGATACAAAATTTAAATTTTCTATATTAATTGCAATTATTATATTAAATTTAGATTTATAGAAGATTTTCTTCTGAAAGTCATTATTAGGGAACGTATATTTAATTGTTTACTTATTTTTAGTAGTATTTATTAGGAAATACTTGTTAATATACCGGTGTTTGTTTGGCATAAGCTGGCAAAGATTTTCGGGGATGATTCTTTGATCGATTTTCAACAAAAAATTGTATGGGTTGATGGAGAGGGGGGTGAAGATATTTTCGTTTTTGAGCTACAGCTTGTTGAAAAAAAAGTACCGGACTTTTTCTGCATATAAATAAATGCTTATAACTTCGAACCCATACAATATAGAATTATCGTTAGGAGCTTGTTTTACAGACAATTGATTGTTCTTTATTTTTGGTTTTGCAATTAATTTGATTTCAGCCATAGTTTTCGAGATACAGCTCGTCAATTTTTTTTTTTTATGAAACCCTAAATTTCTCAAAAACTTTTATCATTATTTTTTTTTTGTCTTTTTCGATGCGCTGCGATGAGATCTGAAAGGTAACCCATACAATATTTTCCTCTATCTCTGATAGTTTTTCCAATAAAACGTGTCAAATGTATTTAAAAACATGCGAACATGCGAGCACTTTTTATTTAAAATTTTGTTATTCAGTTCCATAAATTTCTTGAAATAAAAATGCTACTTAAACATTATTCACATAATTTTTGCAGTTTATTAGAATTTTTTCTAAGAACCTTTTTTCCAGTTTTAAACGATCTATTTTAGTGTTTTAAAAGCAGTTTTTTTGGCACCTAAAAATCCGTTCCCTATAGTCATTATACTTTATTTATTACTTTTAATAATAATTTGCACCTATTTATTTGTTGTTTTCCAATACCAATTTAATTCATTTATGAATGAAAGTTTTTTTTATGTACAATTAAAATATCTGGTTTTCAACTTTTAATTAATTTCAAGAATTTGTTTTTTTGTTTTAATTGTATATTTTCATTAAATATTTTCTTATTGCAATCAATTAACAATTTTTAATAAATTTTCTTAATTAATTGCAATAAGACAAACTTTATTTACACTGAAAATATAAAAGTGTTAATTTTAATGAGAAATTGTTATTCTTTTTGTTTTTTTTTCAATAAAGTAAATAATTTAATAATAATTAATTATAAAATAAAAAATAATAATTGTAATAATGACAAAAATAGGAGGTGTAATGTTCATGTTTTGTAAATAAAATGTTGAAACAGTTGAAATGTTCAAATTAAATATAATATAAAGCTATATATTTATATATATATGATATATATATATATATATATATATATATACATATATCATATATATATCATATTTATATATATATGATATATATATATATATATATACATATATCATATATATATCATATATATATATATGTATATATATTTTTATATATATCATATCTATAGCTCTACATATATATATATGTATATATCATATATACATACATATATATGTATATATATATGTATGTATATATGATATATGTATATAGATATGTGTATATGTATGTATATATGATATATATATATGTATATGGATGTATAGATGATATATACATGTATATATATGTATACATATATATCATATAACGATATGATATATATATCATATAACGAATAAAATAAGTTATTCTAAGATTTCTGTTTTTATATTTAAATAATTACATTTATAATAAAAATTATTACTTATAAATATAATTAAGATATTAGTTTTATACATTTAAAATTTTCTATTCTATTTAAAATGTTTGTGAATTAAAATTTAAATGACGATTAATTTTATAAAAAGTTGAAAATAAATAAAATTAGTAATAAGTCGCAAATGACGAAATGTAAAAATTTATAGTATAAACGTGACCTAAAATGCTATAATATAGATTAAAACTTAAATTTTATGATTTATTTATAGGCTGACTATATAGAGTACAATTTGCATGTGAGTGTAATAACGTCAGCTATTTTATTAACACTTTTGTAAAGTAGATGATATTTCTATTTTATTTTTTTATTAACTAAATTCTAAATTCAATAGTTTATTTAAATTGTTATTAATTTTTGTTAAAAATATAATTTATAAAATTCATTACTTAAATTTCGTTTAAAGCTTATTATATGTTGCACTTAACTAAAATATTTAAGAAGTCAAAATTGAGTTATTCACATAATTGTGAGTAATGGCAAAATATCACATTTTTCCAATTTATCTGAGACATTTTCTATTAGTGAATTATATTCGGTTCTCTTGCAAAATATCAAAAATAATTATTCACTTCACAAAGGCTTTAAGTGTGAATATAAAATATATTCAAATTACACATTATATATTATAACTATATTTCATATATATATCACTATGATATTGATTTCTATGACATCTATCATGCATTTTTAGAATGTAGCAATGTAAAATAAAATTTACAGAAATATTTTTACACTATTAAATTAATAAATTATCTTGGAATTTCCAAATTTTCGGTATATCGAATAAAAGTTCATATATAGATAAACCAATAGTAATTAAGAAATATAGACATCCTTGAAGAAGAATATATGGGTTAGTCGTTTATAACGTAATTAACTATGTGATAATTGAATTTATTTTAAACAATAATTTAATGTGTTATATATATAGAATGTCGATATATATATTAGATTCATTATGATTATTACTGATTTCAAGGCAGAAATTTTTAACTTTTCTATTTATATACATATATTGCGTATATATATACAAATGTATAATGTTAATATAGTGTATTTGTACATAAATAACATTATGGTTAAATATTAGTATTTTATTATTGTTTAATTTTTTTTCTAATATACATAGTTTAATCTTAATTAATGAGTAAGTATTATTAAATAAAAAATGTCATAAGAGTATATAAAACCGTATAATATACATTTTTATATCTAGCAATAAAAATATTAGCATAACATTTATAAAATATTTAATTTTAAATATATAATTCATTTTACTTACTTATAAATTATATTAAATAATGTATTTGTATGTATTAGTATATACATACGAATAAGTATATATATATCCATAAGTATATATATCCATAAGTATAGATATCCATAAGTATATATATCCATATACGTATATATATATATCTATGTTTTTGCATATATAAAGGGAATTACTAAAATAGTTCCTTATCTTATAGTTTAACGAATATGTGTGCAATATAAAATAAAGTATGTCTCCTAAAAGTATGCAATTTTTTTTTTAAATTTTAAAATTAATGGAAACCAGTTTATTAATGCTGATTCATATCAGCATTCATATCAGTAATTTCATATCAGCGTTAGTTAATTGAATTTATTTTTTTTTTTCAAATATTCAAATTTTCATAGCACAAGGTATTACAAGTACATTACATTTGCACATCCTCTCATTGAGTTTTGTTTTATCACATACTGGTGAGTTAAGTTGCCGTATTTTTTTTGGAAATGTTGCAACAGCTATTTCATATTTTTCTCAAAACAACCTTATATTAAATTTGCTTGAATTCTGTTGAAGATGCTTTTATTTTCTGTCATCAAGATTTTTTGTACCATACCTCCCAGGGACGATGTTACGGATATGCCTTGACATGATAAAATGAAATAAAATTTCGGTGGGTGGGTCTATCTATGTTTATATACTCACTCATCGAAATGTTAGAAAACCTACAGAGCTGAAGAAAGACTCTTTTCAATCCTATTGAGCAGGCATGGCTTTCTATTTTTAAAAAATTTTCGACTTTAGCCATTACAGGATTTTGCAACCTACGACAATGTGCAAATGGTCTTGATTTCTGATCTCGATGTTTTTTTTTTTGTTCTAAGTTGATTAATTATTTTGAGCAACTGTTATTATTACATACATACGAGTACATAATGTGTGACATAAATTTTGAGATGTTGTGGCCATGGACTATTATTCAAAATTTTATACTTCGATAAAAGTTATACATACTTATATTTTAGAAAAAAAAAATATTCAAAGTTAAAATCAAAGGTTTATTTCGAAATCGGATATATTTTAAAATTCTTAAATTGTTGCAATATTAGATCTTATCTGTAAAACATAATGTTATTTTAAATTGGAGCTTTTTTAAAATTTCCGATTTTATATTTACGTCTTGACTCTACAATTAATGCTAGGTTTTTACAATCAATTAAATCATGAAGCAGTGGTTTATCTTATAAGCACAAATATTTTGTTTTCAATATCTAAATTATTTTTTATATTAAAATCATTCAAATTTTAAAGCTTATGTGCTTCGAATATTTTTATTGAAAAATTTGCATGATTTTGAAAAAAAATTTAAAGCCTTGTTTTCAGAATTTTAAAATAATTTTATTTCCCATTAATTGTTGGGGAAAACCCCATGTGAATTTAATTATCTGCTTGCTAAACGTGTTTTCAAGATGTTGTTCCCAATTATGTGATTTTTTTTAAAAGGTTTTACTACAAAAATTCTAAAGTTGTATAAAATTGAAGTTAGTTTATGTTATTAATTTAAGATATCGAAATTTTAATTGTTAGCTTGTAAATATTTGGAATGCAATGCAGTCATTCAACTCCTATTAGTCACACACACACACACAATTTAATATTTTAATACAATGCTGAATAATCTTTTATTATTTATAGAATTAAAAAAAATCTTATTTAAAATTTTAATAATTTTCTTTTTTATTTTAATTACAGATCTCGTGTTTTGTCCTGTTGTTAATTAATAAGTGTTTAAAAATATCCATTTTATTTAAGTAACTGTAGAATAAAGAAACCAAAAAATGGGTGCAGGAATTTGGCAAGCATTAACTCGGCGAAAAGTATACGATACAGATACGGGTGAATCAAAATTAGCAAGAGTTTTAACACTACTTGATTTAACAGCATTAGGTGTTGGTAGTACCTTAGGATTAGGTGTATATGTATTAGCAGGTTCTGTTGCATATGAAGAAGCTGGACCAGCTGTAACAATATCATTTTTAATAGCTGCAATTGCATCATCTCTAGCTGGTGTTTGTTATGCTGAATTTGCTACTAGAGTACCAAAAGCTGGTAGTGCATATGTTTACAGTTATGTTACAATTGGTGAATTTGTTGCATTTACAATTGGTTGGAATTTAATTTTGGAATATGTTATAGGTAAGTGTAATTTTCATATACAATAGATTTTTATTTGTTTATTTATTATTTTTATATTAAAAAAATATATAGGAACATCAAGTGTAGCACGTGGTTTAAGTGGTTATTTAGATACACTTGTTAATGGTACAATAAGTTCAACTTTAAGATCAACGATGCCAATTGATGTTAGTTTTTTAGCTGAATATCCTGATTTTTTTGCTTGTATTGTTATTTGTGTATTAACAGCATTACTTGCGTTTGGTGTCAAAGAATCCAGTTTAATAAATAATATATTTACCGGAGTTAATTTAATAACAATTGCTATCGTTTTAATTGTTGGTGGAATGTATGGTAAGTAAATTAAATAGAATAAAAAATGTTATGTGCAGTTACTTATAAAATCAATTTGTATTTTTTAGCTGATCCACATAACTGGGCAATATTAAAAGAAGAAATCCCAAAAGGAATTGAACATGCTGGTGAAGGTGGTTTTATGCCATTTGGTGTAGCTGGTATTATGGCTGGTGCTGCAAAATGTTTTTATGGTTTTGTTGGTTTTGATTGTATTGCAACAACTGGAGAAGAAGCAATTAATCCGAAAAGAAATATTCCATTATCAATTATAATATCATTAATTGTAATATTTTTAGCATATTTTGGTATATCAACTGTTTTAACAATGATGGTACCCTATTATTTACAGGTATATTTTTAAAATATATGATTTTTTTTTAAATTTGTTTATATATACATTTTATTTTTTTTATATAAATATTAATTTTGATTTTGTTTTATGCTTTTAGGATGCCGAAGCACCATTTCCAAAAGCATTTGAAGCATTAGAATTATATGAAATTAAATGGATAGTTACTATTGGTGCTGTATTTGCTTTATGTACAAGTTTACTTGGTGCAATGTTTCCATTACCACGTGTTATATATTCAATGTCTAATGATGGAATTATATTTAAGCGATTTAAAACAGTTAATAGTTATACAAAAACACCATTATCAGCTACAATATTATCTGGATTTTTAGCAGGTGAATATACTCATATTTACATATAACATAGGCTCTGTTGATAACTAGAGAGAATTGATTTATTTCAACCTAGATATCGTCATACTTATGTTTCTGTTTAATACAAATTTTGATTTCTATTTTATTTCTAATTATTTGATTAAATTATTGCATCAATTAATTAATAATTATTTATTATTTATTTATTATAACACTTTTAATAAATTTTCTAATTTTTTATTTTTAGCTATTATGGCACTTATGTTTAACTTACATCAATTAATTGATATGATGTCAATTGGAACATTATTAGCATATACAATTGTTGCAATATGTGTATTAGTTTTACGTTATCAAAATGATGATGATTATGATCAAAATAAATATTTATATAATAAAAAAATTAAATTATCAAAAATTGTAAAACAATTCTTTAATATTAATAATAATGATGGTGATGAACCAACAAATTTAACATCAACAATAACAAAAATTAGTATTGTTATATTTAGTATATTAGCAGCATTAGTATGCGTTGTATTAAAAGTTACAGATGGTACAGAATTATTTTCAATTGTAATATTATCTATAATAATAATTTTTATGTTATTAACAATAATTGTTATATGGCGTCAACCAATATCAAAAATTGAATTAACCTTTAAAGTACCATTAATACCAATATTACCATGTGTTAGTGTATTTTTTAATTTATATTTAATGTTTCAATTAGATGTATATACATGGATACGTTTTATTGTATGGTTAATAATTGGTTATTTAATATATTTTGCATATGGTATGCCAAATTCAGAACAAGGTAAAAGAAATTCAAATAATGAAATAGCTACAGCCGGTGTTATAATGTCAACAACTAAAAATAATGATTCACAAAAAATTACATTTAATAATTTAAATAGTAATAGTAGTAAATATAATAATGGTAACAGTTATTATACAAATAATGCATATGTTGATACAGAAATTAAAGCATATCCAATTGATATTGGTTCAAGTAGTCATAAAAAATCATATGATATTAATAAATAATAAATATTTTATGTATACATATGTATATAAGTTACTGTACATACATATATATACGAATATTTTAATTATATAAGAATAGTAATTGTTAAGTTTTTATTTTTATAACAATATTTATAATATATTTTTAATTAATAATTCGAATTTATAAAATAAATAGTTGCTATTTTAAAATAAATTATAGATTGTTATATACGAATATTATGTAAGATAAATTTTCTTTTAATAATTTTAGAATATACAAAAAAGATTTCATTTAGTTTCTTGGACTATTTAAAAATAAAAAAACTTACAAATCTTTTTGTTGTTTCTTGTTATCTCTTTTAATTTTATGTTTTATTTTTTAATTTTTGAAATTTTTTAGATTTTTTTCTTTTTAAGAAATTTATAATTTTAACAAATTTTTTAAAATTAAAATATAATTAAGAAAAAACATTTAATGTTTGTCGATAATACCCATACATTTAAGTAAAATTATAAATTGTAAAAACTTTTTAATTTATAAAAATTTATTTAATTAAAATTAAATTTTAATGTATATAATATAGTGAAAAAAAAATTACAAGAAAGCTCAATTTAAAAATAATTAAATTAGATTTAAAAGTATTATTAAAAATTGCTATATAAAATAAAAAATATTGTAAATTATAAATTTAATTTTATTTTTAAATTTTAATTTTCTTTAGTCGGATATTGTTATATACAATTCATATGGTATATTACAGTTATCCGATTAATAAGAATGATAAAGAAATTCGGTAATATATTTTAGAATATTACTTGGCAGTATATGTGAGCATTTGATTAAAAGATTTTTTGAATTAGTTGCTTTGAACTTAAGAAATTTTCACTTATATTTTGAAGTTTTAAAAAATTTTCACTTTGATTCTTAAATATTTACTTAATTTTGTTTATATTGTAAATTATTAAGCTTTAATTTTGGGCAATTTACACTTAATTTCTTTTAAATTAACAATAAAATTACGGACGGACATTTTTGTATTAATAAGTACATAAAAATTTATTTATTATAAAGTTTTTGAAATTATGAGACATTATCATTCAGTGGTATCAACTTTTAATTATTGCAACAAGTCTCAAAATAATTAATTATTTTTAATTTATTTTTATTTGTTTAAATTGTAAATATTATTTTCGTTCTTGTAAATTCAATTTAAAACTTTACCATTCATATTTTTATATCAATAAATATCAAATTAATATCATTCAAAGTAATTATATTAAATGAATGAATTTATGCTTCATAATTTTAATAGTTTTTGTTTACTGAACACAATTTTCATTAAATGCTAAAATATTAAATTTTCTTCAAAATGTTGATCATACAAATTTAAAACTTTTTTTTTTTTTTTGTAACATAATTTCATATTTTATTATAGTATATAGATTTCTGCACCATTGCTAAATCAATAAATTTATTTCAAATTACTCTTATAAAACCAAAAAAAAAAACAAAAATAGGGCAAAGGAAAATGTAAAAAGCATACATTCAATTAAATTTTCGCACAAGAGTTATTTTTAATTTGTATTTCATTATATTTGAAGTCTGGATGCCATTGAATGTCTGATGGCCATTTGAAGATTTTTTTTTTGTCTTTTTGTTTGTCTTATTTTTTTTTTTCATAATATACGTATTGCAGCATCAAATATTTATATAAAAATTTATTGACGGCAATTAAAAAATTTTGTTTTTTGTTTCTATAAATACTTTGTGTCTCATTTTTTGATAATCATTTAACTTCGAATCCGAAATTAAGAGTAAAAATTAAGCATTACATCATTTGTTCTTGTTGTAAGCTGTGACACATGACAAAAATAATTTTTAAATTCAAGTTTGTAATTTTATAAGCATATTTACAAAAAGGCAAGTAAAATAAATTTAAATAATTATAAAAGTTTAAAATTCAGTGGAAATTTTCAATGAATATTTTTTATTACATAATTTACATTTTGTTAATATTCTCAATTCATTATGATTTTTGGTGCTAATACTAATTAAATTAACTTGATTCTGTACTTAAACATATACCATCGTTAAGCGTTCATTAATTAAATTCAAAAAACCCAAATTAAATGAAATTAAATTAACAAGTGAACCTAAGTCGGAATAGTAAAATAGAGCTTAAGAATCATAATGTTGGTTAATATGAAATTAAATGCGATCCTTTTAAGTACTGTGTCACTAAATATTTAATTTTCAGATTTAGACCTTTGCAAACTGATTAAATTTGTAATCAAACCTGTTCCAAATTTAAGCATACAATTATTTTAAAGAGACACTCTGTATAACAATTAAAAAGAACAGAATATAAAATAAATACAGACAGAGTGAATGTATGAGTATATCTAGTATATAGAATGCAAAAATTGTAAATTTAAATAATTAAATGTAAATATTTGAAAATTGTTAAAAGAGATTGTAATAAATATTGAATTGAATCAATAACATAATTAACTTTTGATAACTACACACATATACATATATTCATACATTAATATATAAAAAAAAATTTAAATGTATTGTCGCTTTTATTTTTATCAAATATTTCACACCACAAAAATTTTTGTTTCCGAAAATTTTTAATTAAAAAAAAATTTTACACAAAAACAAAAACCAATAGTGAAAGAAAAACAAATAAATTATAAAAAACCATGATGGAAAAAACTAGAATTTTTGCATTTTCACAATTTATATTGTGTTGGTGTGATTATTGAATATCACAAAAAAAAAAAAATTGATCCTTGCAGTTCTCTAAATGTGTAAATATTGTTTGAAACTTACCCATAAAGTAGCTTTTGTTTGCATAAACTTTGTTTTTATTTATAAAAATTTTAATTGAAATTAAGAGTAAGTGTGTGTAGTTAGATGTAAATTATAGAACTTTTAAGTTCCACGAGAATCATTCGAACTATGTTTGATAATTGTTATTAAATTAAGAAATTAACAGATTTCTTTCATAGTTTGAACTGTAGGAAAATTGAGAACAAAGTAATTCACTTAAAATTTAATTGATTTTAGAAAGAAAAATTAATTTTTGTGACTTGTAAAACTGCTTAACTGTTATTAATTAGAAAAAATGCTAGACCGCTGTAATTATCGTGGGCTAATGGAATGTTAATTCTAAATACTATAGTAGTTCAAGACACAATCGAGTATAAGTTTTTGTGGCATTTCAGTGGCACTTTGTATTCTATAGTGCTAAAATTAATGCCCCCCTCCCCCAAAAAAAAAAGATTTGGCAAATTATCAATAATGTGATAAAACATTATTATCTTTTCATTTTTCATTTCTTATGGGCCTCCATCAGAAAAGGTCATTAATCATTATTCATTACTAAACCATATTATTCTTATTTCACAGATTTTTTGGGTCAATTATTTCATCACAAATATATTATGCACATAATAAATTCACCTATTTTCATATATCTTTCTTGCAAGTCATAAAAAATTTTTGATAAACTTAATTGTTAAATCCCAAGCTTTCTTTTATAAAGGATCTAGAACAAGGAAATTTCAATAAAATTAAAGCATTCTTTTTTTATACATGTACATTATTAAAATTAATGATGTATCTGAGTATACATCGATTTCATGAAATAATTATTAATTAACATACTCAGCGTATAATATATTCTTTAAAAAAATATTTCATACAATATTCAATCCATTTTTATAAATGATATACGAAAGCCTTTTAAAAATATGCACTCTTGCATCTTTCCCATAATTTTTGAGATTCATTAAAATAAAGAATAAAGGCCTTTTTTTCTTTACATATTTAAGTTTCTCATTATAAAGTCCAGTTTTTAATGAACATGTCATATCCCTTATGTACTTTTCGTTTTTTTAATAATTAACTTGTAACGTTATAAAGTACTCGTATAACACAAGTAAAATAATGCTGGTATATAACAAAAGAGAAAATTATAAGTTTTCATCGCATATATGCCATTATTAAAATTAAAAGGGAAAAATAAAATGATTAAATCAACCAAAAAAATGAAAGAGAGAAAGATAGGAATAGTATGAAAAGGGAATATTTTTGAATTGATGTGAGTCCTTAATTTACTTTTCATATTAACTTTTAAGTACAGACTTGTGAGAATTGTAATAAATTTTTTGGATTTTTTTTTTCTGTAAAATTAAAAGTAAGGTAAGAAATAATTATTTTTCCTTTGAAATGAAAAGAAAACAAACAACAAGGCTTATGAAAAAAGATCAACTCCTAAAAATATGCAATTTAAAATTCAGAAATTTTTTGTTTAATAATAAAATTTTGGAAAAATTAATAATATTTTTTGTTACGTTTTAATGTGTCGAAATAGAAAGAGTTTTGAAAACTTAAAAATTAATCGCGACGTAAATACTCACTCAATCCAGGAGCTTTCCAGTTTTGGTGATCATTCTAACTGCGCTTACCCTCATTCTTGCGATTGTATATGGTATTTTCCTTTCATTTATTTAGTTTTGTTTCTTCATTAATACGTTAGTTAGCACCGATTAGGTTATATCTATGCTTTGGGAGTATAGGAGTAAGGGGTTAACTGTTTACCATGTGATTTCAGTCTTTTTGAAAGTTTTAATAGTGTATTAATTACAAGGATGTAATAAATCTAAATGTACCCGTACCAAGTGTTGCTGCCCGTCCATAATGGCATTCAGTGTGTAAAATTATGAATTTTTCCCCAAAACCCACCCTCATTTTATATTTTAATATAGAGAGTTGACTGGATTAATGAGGCATCTTGACCCTTTATGTGAATGCTCTGTTTAAATTCTTGCTCCATTTGTGCGAATGCAAGGTGTTTCTAATAGCTATTCAGCTTTCTAATTGAAGACTGTTGGTCTTTAATATGGATTGGTATAGGATTGAGTCGGTTCGAATAAAATCAAATTATTTGTTTAAATAAGCAAAAAACTTTTAAATTTAAATAAAAATTTTAGAAAAATTTTGTGATTGTTTGTTTAATAAATTGAAAAGAATACTTTTATTTTGTATAAAATTGTTGATGTGAAATTGTTTACTCACTTTTTTTAATTTTGTTAACTAAAAACTCAGATATTTTTTTTAATGTCTACATAAACCCTCCTTTTTGTTTATTATTGTTTCTATTCTT